AGTTGTATATGTCCAGAATTTGGAGTGGGTATTTCAGTCCTCTCGTCTCGTGTCATCACTAACACTGATCCCACTGACTTCGCTGAGTTAGTCAGGGCTCCTGTGATCTCGGGCTCCGCAGAAGGGAGTAAAATGATGTGCTTCCCATCTTTGGTGAATGAATATGTGTTCTTGAATCCATTGTGTTGACTCCTTCGGTCTGTCACGATCGTCCCAACAGGTGGCATACATCTATAGGGACCATGTCACACCGCACCTGGTTATGCAACTGACCTCTTAACAAAAACTTTACCAAGCATTTCCAATCGATGCTGATTTGATTCTCCTTTTTCAGTCATATCAGTGAGTACGACTGTGAATGTCTCTGCGTCTTAAGTCCCAATTTATCTACCAGCTAAGTCGATGCCACGTTTTTATTACTCCCACTGTTGATAATAAGGCTGCATACTTTTTCGTTCATGGTGCAGTGAGTGTAGAAAATATTGTGGTGAAGCCACTGCAGATCCCTTATGAACTTGGATTGCAGAATTCGTCGAATCATAGGTGCTTCTCCCTCATATGATGGAAGTTGATACACCTCACCCTGTTCCTCAGCTTTCTCCTCGTCGCTAATCTCTTCCACAAAGCTCTGAACTGTGAGTGTGATTACTTTGCTAGTGGGACAGTTGGAGGATATGTAGCTGTAGTTGTGACGTCGATAACATTTCTTAGTCGCTATGGTGTTGGAGTAGCTACCATTTTCCTATTTTTTACCGCTTTGATTTGGAGTCTTACTCTCTTGCCTGAGATTGCCTGTCTCTCGGGACACCTCTGTTGGTCATGGTAACTGTATGTGACATCCTGTCTCCAGGTTGCTTTCTGAAGGATGACTGTCGCCGATTCTACTTCTGTTGTCTTTCCATCCTCAGAGCTAGTGTCTGAACATCCCTCAACGTTCAGTACGGTTGTAATTGCACCACATTGCTAATACTAGGCTTCAGGCCCTCAAGGTATCTGGCTATTTCATTCTCCTCTGGCTGCGTTAGATCACACTTCATTTGCAAATGATCAAAGTGCTCTGTGAAATCTTCTACTGACAGATCTCTCTGCTGCAGGTGGAGCCGCAGAAACATATCCTGACGATAATGTGGTGGGAGGTATTTTCTCTGCATTGCCTTTTTCATCTTCTCTCACCTAGTAATTTTATCATTGCCCTCTCTTTTTCTCTACCTCTGTAAGTTTTCCCATCACAGAGAAGCACTCTTCATCTTGATGGCCACTAAATTGACCCGCCTATCGTCTGACACACCCTTATAATCGAAGAACCGCTCAACAACTTGTAACCAATAAATGAATTCGTCAGGATCCATATCTCCTTCGAACTCTAGCAGATCAACCTTGATGTCGAAGTCTCTATGACCTCCAAATGATATCTCCTCTTTGTAAGTCTCCCACTATGGGAGATTCAGATATGTCTCTCTAAGCCTCCTCTGAAACTGGATTCCGAAACGCCGTTACCTATGTTCTTCGTTGCTGAAATTATACCTATGGAAGGGATTAGATCCTCATCTCTTTCTCCTCTTCGATTCTCCAAATCTCAGTCAAGATACTGCCTTCCTATGTTAATTCTTCGAACTCTGCAAGCCTTTGTTGAAGGCGACGGAGCTCCCACCTTATCTCTTCTCGGGTAGGCTCGGATATTTATCTCCTTAGTGTCATGGCTAGGGATTAAGGAATAGAAAAAAATTTTTGGAGCTAGGGTTTGGTTTGTGAAAATGATATTTTGTGGTAGGAAAGAAAGTTTTAGTTCATGGCAAATGCTAGAAAACCCTAGAATGTGACTAGGGTTGGGCTAACTTTGATACCAAATAATATCAGAACTAGTAGAAAAAACAGTGAAACCACAAAACAACTTTTTTTAATAGGAAAATAGAGTTATAACACAAAACAAGCTAAAAATAACATCACCAAAACATAACCGACACAAACAACACCTCGAAAGTGCACCCCAAGGGTTGTGGAGGTTGGCTAGGTGGATTAAGATGTCTAATGGGGGTGGCAGCAGCAAAGGTGAGGTAAGAAAACTGTAGGAACAACTAGAGGGTTGGTTATCCTGTGCAGCAACAACAAGAAATTGGGGTTGAAATGGCAAGAACAACAAACGTTTGATGCCTGGGGGTGGCAGAAACGAGGAAAGGTGGATCAAAAGCAAAGTTAACAAAGATGCAAGCGGTTTGAAGTTGAGGAAAGGTGGTGGATAGTAAGACTTTTGTTACAGACAAGGAGGGGGGGTGGGGTGAGGGAGGCGATAGGGTGCTAGGGAGGGATTGGTGGGGTGAGGGAGGCGATAGGGTGCTAGGGAGGGATTGGAGTGGCCAACGACTAAAGGGAGTGTAAGAGAAGGGTTAGAAAAGATACATCACCACCTCAGAGTAGGATACAGATGGAGCATCATTACCTCCTCAGATACAACCCTACAAAAGGGGAGAAGACTCCACACAAGAAATCTGAAAAACACACACAGCAAAATTGAACCCTACAAACATAAAACAACAATTTATAGACTCCTATTGACGAATAAAATGAAAGAAGTAAAGAAAGAAATTCCAACACAAAAGGAAAGGTGTAGGGATGCAAGAAAGATCCAAAAATAGTCATTAAAATACTTCATATATGAGGAAGAAACAGAATAGGAATAAGAAGAGGGGCGAGCTGCAATCTCGTCTCGTCAAATTATCGCCCCTAGGCTGCTCGACTAGGGTTTGCCCTGGGCCGGCCCGAATTGGGCTGGCCAGTTTGATAGCTTGCTGCAAGAGACCCTACTCCCGCGTCATATTCAATCAAGAGGGATAGAAGATGCAGTTCTTTTGCCTGACAGGGACGCGAGAGTAGACAACACAGAGGAGGAGGTAGTCCCACAAGCCATATTTATTGAATCAATACGAGAAACTCCAGTGGCCATAACTTTAGTCATGTTAGAGGGAACTAAGGAGGAGGTTGAGATACCAGAGTCTATAAAACTATTGCTATTTGGATTTCAGTACGTGATGACTGACAATCTTCAAGAGAAATTGCTACTATTGAGGGACATTTAACATGCCATAGATCTCATCCCCAAATTAGTGTTGTTAAACAAGCATGCCTACAAATTGAGGCCAGCAGGGCATGAGAAATTACAACAAGTACAGGATCTCACAGCGAGAAGTTTGGTCAGAGAGTACAAGCCCGTGTGTAGACCTTGCCTCGTGGAAGATGTGCATTGATAGTCGAGCCATCAACAAGATCACCATCAAATATAAGTTTCACATACCCTCGCTTACATGACCTCTTGCATCAATTGCATAGAACTATTGTCATTTCCAAGATTGGCTTACGTAGTGGATTCACCAAATCAGGATGAGACCAGGCGACGAGTGGACGACTACTTTCAAGACCCAAGATGGATTATGCGAGGGGGCGATCATGCCTTTCAAGTTGTCTAATGCACCCAACACATTTATGAGGTTGACGAATCAAATTTTTGAGACACACATAAGGAAGTTTGTAGTGGTGTACTTCAATGATATTCTTATATACAACAGATCAGAGGAAGAACACTTGCAACACTTGAGGATGATCTTTATGGTTTTGCGATAAAAAAACTATATGCCCACCCAAAGAAGTGCCACTTCTTGATATCACATATATGTTTTTTTGGGTTATATCGTGTATGATGCATGCATTCAGATGGGTCTAGTTAAGATAAAGGCCATCATGAGCTAGACGACTTCACAGATGAAACCAAACCCATTACAAGATATTTTTGTTCACCAGCCATAAATGATGTCATTTAGTGCTGAAGGATGAGCCAAAGTAGTGCTCAAAACACTAGGAGATAAACAACCCAATGACGAATAACTCAGCAACCACCGAATAAAAGAAAATAATGAGCAGAATGAATCCAAATAAATGAATCGGCTATGCCAATTAAGCCGAACAAAGCAACAAATTTAACAACGGACAAAATTTACCTAAGTAGGCATCTCAAATTGAAGCAAACAGATTGTCCATGACCAAAGTAGAATTGAGCATTGTCGATGCCCTTAGCCTGCTAACACTGGAGGAAGATGAAGCATCGACGACACTACAAGATGACAAAGAAGAAGCCGAATACATCTTCGACGCTAAGCAATGTCGACGAGGTCAAAGTCTTGCGATCTAGATGCTATTGGGTGATGAAGCAGATAGAACGAAGTCTCATGATCCAAACGAAGGAAGACGAAATAACTACACTGCTGGATGAGGAAGACAAAGCCAGATACACCTTCCACACTTAACGATGTCGATGATGTCGAAGTTTTGCGATCCAGACACCACTGCGCGACGAAGTAGATAGAAAACAAAGGCGGTTAACGTCGGAGATGAACGATGCTAATACGGGAACTATTCCATGAGGCTCTAATACCATGTACTAGCAAAACTCTCTCTCTTTCTTATTCACAATGGACAACATATATTAAATATTAATACACACTCCCAATTCTTCAAATTAGGAATAACTCTAATTTAGAAAATATCCTGTAATATGATCTCTTTTAATTAGATTACCAAATATCAAATTTCCTAATATACAAAATTCAAACTTATTACTTTTCATAACAATCAGCAATATTTCAAAACTAAAAAATGATGAATGTTACTATAATCAAATTATAATAGATGCAACAGCTACAACTACGCCACCTCCTCCACATTTCTTTTCCCATTACAATTTTGTACACTTTTGGTAGTTTTTGTTCTTTTTTTCCCCACAACGACTACTGTTTTAACTGTAGCTAGAGTAATATTTCTACAGAAAGAGGAGGCAAATGGCATTGGTTTTTGCACAATTTTTCAAAAGAAAATAGAATTCTCTAATGTTCTGTTCTACTTGGTTTTCACTCTTAAGCTTGTTGTTTTCCGATCATCTTTTATTCCATATTAGTAATTCAAATTGAATGCTGTAGCTAAAGTCAGACAAGATCAAATTATTTTGCCAATACCTGATAATTGCCAAGGGTACGAGATTTAAAACCTGCTGCACAATATATAAAATAGTAATCCCATGTGCGCATAAATTTATCGTCAAACCCCAGTGCCATAATCTTACTGCAAAAACGAGTAAAATCCATTAAAAACTTGTCAAAATAAGAAATATTGCTGAAGGCATATGGCTCACGAGCAAAATGATTATATGGCATCATTTTATATCGACACAACAACAATGTGTGAAGCATAGCATAAGTGTTAATTAAGTTCATTATCAGTTAGGCCTTGAAAAAAAATAATGGCAGCACGTCTTTTAACTTGATCATAATTAAAAATAAATAAAGCAAAAACAAGGGGATGTTTAATTAGATGTATTATTAGTGTAAACTAAATGCAAGGGTTTTGAAATTTCAGCCATCTGATAGTAAGAAAAATAAATAAAAAAACTTTCAAGGGCTTCGGAATCCCCTACTTGTTCATTTCAAAGTGCATTCATAATTTGCCTAAATTAGGCAAATTTAGATTACAACCTATTTTTAGACCATCATATGCGACCTTGTGCTTGCTAGCCACGGCTCCTAGCTCGTGAGACTTGCTTCTACTACCTCGCTCAAAGTCAAAAAATCCTTCCTTCCATGTGACCTCCATCACGAGACCTGCTTGCAGCACTTCTGAGCCCTAGGTTCTTTTTTTTATTTAGATTCATTTTGCTTTTGACCAAACACATAAAATTAATCTCTTGAATTTATTTTACAATCAACCAAATAAGTATTTCAAAAATAATGTAAATAGAGGAAAGGAGCAAAATTATTCCCCGATTATTTGTGAGGTCTATTTTAATCCCAGGCTATATTAAAGTTCTACTTTAGTCCCTGAACTCTTAAAATTGGATGATTTAATCATTACAAGCAACGAACTTGAAATTGAAGTTAACAAATAGTGCACAAATAAGGGTATTTAGGAATTTACATCATAATTTTTTTGTAAAATCTAATAAATGAATTCTTTTAAGTTTGGCTTATTTTGTAAGATCAATAATATTTGTTAAAATTTATAAATTCAATATGCATTAATTTTATAACAAAGCAGCAAAAAAATAAAATAAGAGGTATTGAGAATATTACCAATAGATTAAATCCAAAATAAGGAAAGTATGAAATTAAATTTTGTAAAAAAATTCAAAAGATGTAAATTTCTGAAATACCCTTAATTTTAACTTCACCCTTTAACTTTAACTTCAATTTCCTTTACTCCTGACAACGAGAATAATTTGGCTCCTATTATAAGTGTCCAAGGACTAAATTAGACCTTTTGTATAGTTTGAAATTAAAAAGGTCTGCCACAAATAAATAGCTGATCATTTTAATCCTTTTATTAACGTAATTACTTTACAAAAGACTTAAAATATATCTTAAATTCAGAATACGTATAATTAAGGAACACTCAAGTCTTTCGGAAAAAAACACCAGGAAGTTTTATTAAACATGTTTGAATCTTGCAAACTAACTTTCTACAAAGTCTCAAACATAAATCATTTGACTTTAGATCGAACAGATAATTACACTATTTATTCCAGTATAGTTTGCTTGACCATGACAGTATATGTAAAAGTATCTTCTGCAAAAAATTTATGAAAATAACATAAGCAGAGGAATTCATACCGTCTGTTGGCCATGAAATTATTTCTCCAGCATATAAGGGTCTGGTAGTAGTGTATGCCTAAATTTTCCACATGCTCAATGCTACAAAAAAAAATCGCAGGTATTAAAAAATAAGAAAATATTGGAACTGCATTTCCTATGCACTAAAACACATGCATGAATAATCTTAAAACAGTAAACTTTGTTCTTCAAAATGAAGCTAAATGATCAGATGGCCCACCAGAGTTTAGAGGAATCGGTCATGGCAGAGGTCACTCTACTCAAAGAAGGAAGACATCCGCCAGGAAAAATAAACTCCTTTATAAAATCAGAGCTTCTCCTGTATTCCTGATACCTTTGATCAGGAATTGAAATAAACTGCACAAAATAAAAATTAAACATGTAAAGATACCATGAAATGGCTATACCAGAAAGTAGCCCCACTAAGAAAATCTTATTCAAATTTAAACAATTCAAAGAAAAAGAGCTTATGTTAACTATCAGTTAGACCCAGGCATTGGGTGGATTCGGTTTGGCGTGGACCAGGCTTATTCAGGCTTTGACTTGTCAGGTATGGCTCATATACCTGGAAATTTGGAGTATCTTGAAATGGAGAGGTGCGTCTCCTGCAATGAAAAAAAGTGTCTTTTGGTGTGAAGAGGTGTGTCTCTTAGATTAGTGAGTTAGGGGGAGCGAGGGTGTGTTGGTAATTTTACTTGTGGGTGTTTTATCTATATATATGATGTGTAACCCTATGAGTATGTACTGGACTCCTCTGAAATAGTGAAATTCGCCGCTCTGCTCCCGATGACGTAGGCATCTTTGCCGAACCTCGTTAAATGTCTGTGTGTTCTTCTGGATTTGTGTCGATTGCTGTTTTTCTTCGCTCTAATTTCTCAACAATTAGTATCAGAACGTCATATTAGGGTGGAGGAGATCGGTGCAGAAAGAAAGAAGAAGTTCGGGAGGTTGCGGTAGTTTCAGCGAGACAGTCGAGGGATTGGCGATCGGGGAAGAAGCAGTTCGCGACTAGGCTGCGGCAAGTTCGCGGCTTCGGTGCTTTGCAGAGAAATTCGCAAATCGCGGGAGAAGGCGGTTTGCGACAGTATCATAGAGGAGTTCAGTTTTGCCAGAAGAATCGCGACAGGGCCTGCGAGAGGAGTTCGCGGCATTTGCGATTCGCGGCAAACGGGAAGGGTTGGCGAAGGAGAAGGTTTCGACGAATAAAGGATCGTCTTCGGTGCGTCGTTCACAGGCGAGAGGATTTTCCAGGGAGGACGAAACAATTCGTGGCATTTTCAGGGCGAATCGCGGCAGTTGGATCGCAACAGAGTACTTCGCGATCAAAGGGTTTCTTTTGCAGGAGCAGTTCGCGTAGGGCAGCGAATCGGAGCAGACGCAGAGGAGTTGGGGCCTTTCGGGAAGCAGTTCGCGCGAACCTCTTCCTCTTCCGCAGAGAAGGATTCGCGAGGGTGAACTCGCGCAGAAAGGCTCGCGACTACCTGTGACCAGAGTTCGCGAGGAGCTTTGCAGTCGGAAATCGCAGAGGAGCGCCAGGGTTTACAAATCGCAGACGTGAGGAAGAGCTCGCGACGGTTCCGGTTTTGGTGAGCAGGAAGAGTTGCGGCGACGCGAGGAGTTCCGTAAAGCTCTGCAAACAGTTCTGTGGCAGTTTCGCGCAGGAGTTTGCGAGGAGTTTGGCGAGGTTTTGCCGTGGGAGGAGTTCTGCCGAGTTCTTCAGAAGGTCGCGGAAGGAAAGAAGAGAGGGAATCTTCAGAAGGCCACGGAGAAGGCAGATGGGCTTATGGGAACGAACAGGTGCGAAGCAGTTCGGGAAAGAACTGCGGTAGTTCACGGAGCAGATCAAACGCGTGGACAGGCTTGAACAGGCATGAACAGGGAGCAGTTCGTCGGGTGTTCGCAAGACGGTAGAGCGAGTTCGCCAGGTGGAGTTTGGTTCCGTGAACAGGAGTGTTGTTTTGCGAACAGAGGAATAGAGGAGTTCGGCTAGCGGAGTTCGCAAGTTTGTCGCAAGAGAAATTGTGACAGGTGGAGTTCGCGAATTTCATGGATTATTCGCAAGTTTGTCACAAGAGAAATTGTGATAGGTGGAGTTCGGTTGGTGTTAGTAATATTTCAACGGAATTTTTTGTGCGAACAGGAAATGTGCTTCGTGTGAAAAAAAAATTGATTCACGAATCACAGGAAATTGCGAGAAAGTTGCTGTAATTGGCAGAAAAAATTTCAGGTTTCTTTGAATTTATTTGTGGTGTGCTTTGTTTCGATACAAGACAAGAAAAGTTCACTGCAGGATTAATTTTAAAGGGCAATGTCTGGTGCAAAATTTGAGATAATGAAGTTCGATGAAACAGGGAACTTCGGATTGTGACAAAAAATGGTGAAAAATTTGTTGGCACAATAAGGAATTTTGAAGACATTGCGAGCTATGAAACCTGATGGTAATATCTATAAACTGTTGGGGAGTACAGTTGTAGGTGAAGTTCACTCTGTCGGATCATATGGTGAAAATGCAGCAGGAAAGTTGACCAAGCCATGTATTTTCAACAAGTTCTTGCGTTACTTGAACTTGTTGAATGTTTGCAGTTGCTAGTTGGCATGGTTGCCCAACCCACTTTGGTGTAAGAAACTCCATGATGTTTTTCTCCTAAGGGGCTAGATATTTGCAAGGTGTAGATTTTATCCTAAGGGGCTGGATATTCGCCAAGATGGAGAATTGTTAGGTATGACTCATATACCAAAAAATTTGGAGTATCTTGAAATGGAGAGATGTGTCTCCTGGAATGAAAAGAAATGTCTCTTGGTGTGAAGAGGTGTCTCTTGGATAAGTGGGTTGGGGAGAGCGAGGGTGTGTTGGTAATTTTATTTGTGGGTGTTCTATCTATATATATATGATGTGTTACCCTATGAGTATGTACTGGACTCATCTGAAATAGTGAAATTCGCCGCTCTGCTCCCGAGGATGTAGACATCTTTATCGAACCTCGTTAAATCTCTGTGTGTTCTTCTGGATTTGTATCGATTACTATTTTTCTTCGCTCTAATTTTTCAACATGACTTGCCAAAGCGGGCTTGAGCCCGGATTCTATTTATAATTTCATAGCCAAGCAGGCCGGCCCGCGAGCCTCCATGGGAATTAAAAAAAGTGATTTTTTTATACCAAAAAACAAATAAATACTAAAAATTCTTTTATAAACTGCTGTTGTTTGGACTACAGTCCCGTGCTATCCTATTGTTCCAACTGTTTATAACCGCTACCACCCCTCATTCACAATCTGGAAACCCCTTTTCTTCCCTACCTTGCCGCCCCCTCTTCGAGCCTCCTCACCGTCACTGCCATCACCTGGGATTTTCCCTAAGGCAAGTTGTGTTTCGTGCGTGTTGTATTTTTCCCCTTTCAAGTGTGTTGATTATAACTATATATTTGCTTTCAATAATAATATATATATTTTTTATTGTAGTTTGGGTTAACTCTGATATCAACTAACGGATCGAAGGTTTTAAATTTTATTTGCAACGAGATGTATAAATTAAAAAAAAATCTATCTACTCACCAAAATTTACTAGATTACTAGGCGCATTAAATAAGAATTTTTAGGGCTCTTCTTGGCCATCTGAGCAATAAATGTTTCTAGACTTCATGCCATCTTTACTAGAGTATTTTGTTTTCTTTATAGTTGCTTCCTGTTGTATTCATTTCATCAAGCGATTATAATATTTGTTTAAAATAATAAAATAAAACTTTAAAACCTACATCAAGTGCATTTCATTTGCTTTCCCATTCATAGTTTGACGTGGGGCGTATCCCGTACGAGAGCTCCCGTGATAGAATTGGGATCCCGCTTTGACCTGAACCAAACCCGTCAATAATTCTTTCATTGTTACGAAGTCGGCCGGTCCCTTGGGCCACTCCTGCTTATTATAGTTATATACTACGATGCGTTTTACGTATAACATTTTAGAGGCTCTGTCAATTGAGTCAGATATCACTTTCCAGAATTAAGCATATATCTTAAGCACCAAGCTGGTTGCAGTTGTCAATGACTCAAATTCTAAACTAGGAGCTCAACTAAATGTAAGAAATAATTAAAAGGAAGATTTGCATGTATACCACTCAATTCCTATGTATTTACATGTGAACACCTAAACTTTAATTTTTACATATACGCCACCTTAATTATACATGAAAAGTGTATTTCATTTTTTAAAAGTCAAAATAATGGTAATTTTTATTTGATATGAAACATTAGGTTGTATTAATGTAAAAAATAAAATTAAGGTGTTGAATATATAAAAACATAAAAATTGGGTGGTATGCATGTAAATGCCCCTAAATAAATTATACGAACACCAAACAAATATGGACAATGTTAAGCCTCAACCTGCAGAACAACTAAGCCATGCTCAGCAAGAAGCCCTTCGCAGCAACCAAAAAACTGTCCCAGGTATTCGTGACCAACTCCTTCGATCATCTCACTGCAAGATAAATTCAGATTATCAGATAGCATGCATGTATAACAACTGAAATATAAAGGAATCACATAGGATAATATTTTATTCCATTGATCTACCGAATAAGATTGTGAGATTATTTATAGAAAGGACAGCATTCCTAATCTCTTAAAATATCAATCAAATCTTCCAATATAGATAAAACAAATATGGGAAAACATGGACTCAGGTGTCAATCTACCAATCAATTAAAGGAAATCTCATAAATCACTAAATCAAGCATTCCTTCACAATCAAATTTTAACTGTCCCCCTCAAACTATTTGGTGGATGCTTATCATTCCTATATTGAAACATATTCTTCAAAATTTATCCAAGAACAGATGCCTCCTTAGAATATCTACAATTGGACAATGAATTAAAGTATGTTGAAGTGATATAATCCCAACTATCCTTTCCTTGATAAAATGTTGACCTTTTGGACATGTTTGGTCCTATCAAGATGTACATAATTTTTTCAATGCTTACTGTTGCTTGATTATCACATGATAGTCTTATCAACTCTTCTCTTGAGATGAACAATTCATTAATAAATAATTTCAACTTACATTCTTTCACCAATTCCATGGCTACTACTCAAAACTTAGCTTTTTCATTATTTATTAACCTGCCATGAAACTAAATTTCCCCAAAAGTATAAAATACAATAGTGGACAAGTGATAAATAATTGAGCTTGCCTAGACGAAGTTTAAAAAAAAAAAACTACAATTTTCTCCGAGTTCTTTTTGAGAAGAATAATTTTCTTGGAGTTATTTTCAAATACCTCAGAATCTTAAAATAAACTCCTTTTCAGTAGGATTATTCATAAAAATCACATTGGTTGGAAATCTAATATCAGGTCTTGTGTAAACTAGTTAGATTAATCTACTGACAAGCCTTTGATATCAACCTTTATCCATTAGAGCACTATCATTTTCAACTCCAAGTTTAGAGATTGATTCCAAGAGAGTAGCTGTCTATTTAAGTCACAGCATTCATATAGCTTTTAGGAGATCTAAAACATATTTGTGTTGTGTGAGTGAGGTGTCCTTTTGAGTTATCTCCAAAGCCATAAAATATTTAAGATATCCTAAGTCTTTAATCTCAAATTCTTTGCCTACCAGTCCCTTGAGTCAGCTAATTTCTTCAGTAAAATCTCTAGTAATAATAATACCATCCACATTATTTCTTCAGCACACCATCCAATCATTTTGTGAACCCGTTGTTGCTAGAAACGACAATGTGAAAGTATCTTAATGAAATAAAAAATAACACGTGTACAATTCTTACAATTCAATCTGCTGAGATGATTTGGGTAAAACATGATCTGGGAATTATAAAGTTTGTTCAGTATCATTTTGTTAGTTGTTTGTGATTCAAAAGACTTTTTTATAGTTGGCCTATCCACATTTAGCAGCATCTATTAGCCAAATTCCCGACAGTTTTATTTTCACTAAAACTACAATCCTACAGGAAAGAAAGTAGTTGGTTTTATTTCTAATATGTTAGTTGTTTGTAAAATATACCCCATGTTTAGTTGTTTGTAAAATAATTTCTAATAATGCTGTAAAATTGCTTGGCAGTCAAGAAGATGGTAATGTAGCAGACTAATGCTTTAGTGCACAATCTTTACCTAAACATGGGGTACATTTGAAACCCAAAATCATTGGAAAGTTTTAAGTACATGAGAGGGAAAACACAAAGATGTTATGTGCTCAGGACAAAAACTTGCAAAAAGGTCATTTATATTTCTTAAAATGCACAAACTCTCAAACTATTTACAGTTTTGTTATGACTTATGTATGTTCTGATTTATCTGGAATTTGTTCTTATTCCATTCCCATTTGCTCTTATTCCATCCCCATAAACAATGTCTCACCAAAGCACTTGTGAGAAACACTCTGAATATTTGATTAAATGATACTTCAACTTTTTATGGTCTTATATGGAATGTGCACATAGGTTTCAATGTTTTGACATGTATGTTTTTTTGTTGAGATTTATTACAGCTCAGTTTCATTCTTATAGAATCTCCACCCATTCTCCATAACTCAATTTTCTAAAGTAAACTGTATTGAAGGACTTAAATGCATTCTGTGGTTAGCATGCAAAATATACATCATGCTATGATAAATGAATTGCATTACGTAAGCAGTAAATGATTTTTCAGTTTACTATATTTAAGCTTTCTAGAAAGTAAAGAATATGTTGATATAAGTACAAACTTAGTTGTTCACAATACCAAGATATAATCCTGTCATATTTTTGAGAGGTTGAAAGTTGGCGATAATCACACAACAATAATGTGACACGGTCCTGAAATAAAATAAGAAATTGTCATCTCAGAAAAGATAAACAATAGTCCTTTGAATCCAAAAAATAGTTCAATCAAAGTAAAACATTTTTTAAAGTAGTTGAAGCAAAAGTTCTTATGATTTTGCTGTTTAATGAAGTTTTTTTTCCTTCCAAACGAAATCTCAAAGAAATTATAGTATCAATTACCAAAAAAAAATAAAAATAAAAAAAATAAAAATAAAACAAAACATCCTTGGAATCAAGGAAATAAAACTTAACCTAAGAAGATCATTTCATGAATACCAATTAATCTCATGAAAATATTAGCATAATGCATGTGATGCATGGTAAGACTGATGCTTTATTCTGTACCATCCAACATGCTGCTTGATATTTTAAAACACATTAAATGTTAGTGAAGTCACAATACTTTTATAAATAAATTCATTAACTGACGCGTTTTGTCCAGGATATCTATCTTCACAGATGGGTCAGCAATGCGAAGAACTAACAAAATTGGCTACTTAAAAACTCAAACTAATGCTTTATTCTGGACCATCCACCATGCTGCCTTGAGATTTTAAAACACATTAAATGTTAGTGAAGTCACAATACTTTTATAAATAAATTCACATATTGATGCGTTATGTCCAGAATATCTATCTTCACAGATGGGGTTGTCGACGCTAAAAAGTTAAGTTGGATTAAAGTTGAGGGAGTTGCCCGTAAGAAGTTGTCGGTCACCGGAATTGAAATCCCGTTCTCCGCTTCAAAATGAGGTTTTAATTTACATATATATATATATATATA